TCAGAACTGACCACGGAACAACAGACTGGTTCAAGATTGGGAAAGGCGTACGGCAAGGCTGCAACCTCTCACCCAACCTTTTTAACTTGTATGCAGAACACATCATGCGATGTGCGGGGCTGATGAATGCAAAGCTGGGGTGAAAATTGCTGGAAGAAACATTAACAACCTAAGATATGCAGATGACACCACTCTGATGGCCGAAAGCGAGGAGGAGCTGAGGAGCCTTCTAATCAAGGTGAAAGAAGAAAGCGCAAAAGCCGGGTTGCAGCTAAACGTCAAAAAAACCAAGATTATGGCAACAAGAATGATTGACAACTGGAAAATAGAGGGAGAAAATGTGGAGGCCGTGACAGACTTTGTATTTCTAGGTGCAAAGATGAGTGCAGATGCAGACTGTGGCCAGGAAATCAGAAGACGCTTACTTCTTGGGAGGAGAGCAATGTCCAGTCTCGATAAAATAGTGAAGAGTAGAGACATCAGACTGGCAACAAAGATCCGCCTAGTCAAAGCCATGGTATTCGCTGTAGTAACCTACGGATGTGAGAGCTGGACCTTAGGGAAGGCTGAGCGAAGGAAGATCGATGCTTTTGAGCTGTGGTGTTGGAGGAAAGTGCTGAGAGTGCCTTGGACTGCGAGAAGATCCAACCAGTCCATCCTCCAGGAAATAAAGCCCGACTGCTCACTGGAGGGAAAGATACTAGAGACAAAGGGGAAGTCCTTTGGCCACATCATGAGGAGACAGGAAAGCCTAGAGAAGACAATGATGCTGGGGAAAGTGGAAGGCAAAAGGAAGAGGGGCCGACCAAGGGCAAGAGGGTAGGCATGAAGTGACTGGACTGACCTTGAAGGAGCTGGGGGTGGTGACGGCCGACAGGGAGCTCTGGCGTGGGCTGGTCCATGAGGTCACGAAGAGTCGGAGACGACTGAACGAGTGAACAACAACAACATTAGTATCATGATATTACTATTTTATTATATTATTATATTATTAGTGTTATTATATTGCTATATTTTATTGTATTATTATTATATATTATTAGTATTAGCATCATGATATTACTATTTTATTATAGTATTAGTATTAGTATCATGATATTACTATTTTATTATATTATTATATTATTAGTGTTATTATATTGCTATATTTTATTGTATTATTATATATATACTGTAATAGGAATATAATAACACTAACACTAATAATATAAATATATAGTAATGTGATAATACTAATCCTAATAATATATAATTTAATAATATAGCAATATAATAATACTAATAATATATAATAATAATATAATTGCAATATAATAACACTAATACTAATTATATATAATATAATAATATAGCAATATAGTAATATAATAATACTAATATATAATAATATAATACAATAGCAATATAACTAATACTAATAATATTTAATATAATAATATAATAAAATATAATATAGCAATATAATAAGACTAATACTAATAATATAATAATATAATAAAATAGTAATATCATGATGCTAATACTAATAATAATATAATAAAATAGTAATATCATGATACTAATACTAATATAATAATATAATAAAATAGTAATATCATGATGCTAATACTAATAATATAATAATATAATAAAATAGTAATATCATGATGCTAATACTAATAATATAATAATATAATAAAATAGTAATATCATGATGCTAATACTAATAATATATATATTAATACAATAAAATATAGCAATATAATAACACTAATAATATGATAATATAATAAAATAGTAATATCATGATGCTAATACTAATAATATATATAATAATACAATAAAATATAGCAATATAATAACACTAATAATATGATAATATAATAAAATAGTAATATCATGATGCTAATACTAATAATATAATAATATAATAAAATAGTAATATCATGATGCTAATACTAATAATATATATAATAATACAATAAAATATAGCAATATAATAACACTAATAATATAATAATATAATAAAATAGTAATATCATGATACTAATACTAATACTATAATAAAATAGTAATATCATGATGCTAATACTAATAATATATAATAATAATACAATAAAATATAGCAATATAATAACACTAATAATATGATAATATAATAAAATAGTAATATCATGATACTAATACTAATAATATTATTATATATTATTCGTATTAGCATTATTATATATTACTAGTATTATTATATTATTATATTGCTATATTATTAAATTATATATTATTAGGATTAGTATTGTCACATTACTATATATTTATATTATTAGTGTTAGTGTTATTATATTCCTATTACAGTATATTATATATTATTCGTATTAGCATTATTATATATTACTAGTATTATTATATTATTATATTGCTATATTATTATATTATATATTATTAGGATTGGTATTATTATATTACTATATTATTATTGTATTACTTTTATATTATATATTATTAGGATTAGTGTTATTATACAACTAATTTATTATTATATTATGTATTCGTATTATAATATTACTATATTATTGGTATTAGTGTTATATTGATATATTATATTATTATTATATATTAGTATTATTATATTACTATATTGCTATATTATTATATTATATATTATTAGGATTGGTATTATTATATTACTATATTATTATATTACTTTTACATTATATATTATTAGGATTAGTGTTAGTATACTACTAATTTATTATTATATTATTATATTATTAATATTAGTGTTATTATATTACTATATTATATTTTATTATATTATTATTATATATTAGTATTATATTACTATAATGCTATATTATTATATTATATATTATTAGGATTAGTATTATCACATTACTATTTTATTTTACTATATTATTAGTGTTAGTGTTATTATATTCCTATTATATGATATTATTATATACTATTCGTATTAGCATTATTATAAATTACTAGTATTATTATATTGCTATATTATATTATATATTATTAATATTAGTATTATCACATTACTATTTTATTATATTATTATATTATATATTATTAGTATTGGTATTATTATATTACTATATTATTATTATATTACTTTTATATTATATATTATTAGGATTAGTGTTATTATATTCCTATTATATTATATTATTATATATTATTAGGATTATTATATTACTATATTGCTATATTATTATTATTAGTGTTAGTGTTATTATATTCCTATTATATTATATTATTATATTATTATATATTATTTGTATTAACATTATTATATATTACTAGTATTATTATATTATTATATTGCTATATTATTATATTATATATTATTAGGATTGGTATTATTATGTTACTATATTATTATTATATTACTTTTATATTGTATATTAGGATTAATGTTATTATATATTGCTATATTTTTATATATATTATTAGGATTAGTGTTATTATACTACTAATTTTTTAAATATTAGTATTATTATATTCCTATTATATATTATTGGTATTAGTGTTATATTACTTTTATATTATTTTATTATATATTATTAGTATATTACTAATTTATTATTATATATATTCGTATTATATTACTATTTTATTATATTTTATTAGTATTTGTGTTTTTATATTACTATTATATTACGCATTATTAGTATATATATATATGTATGTATGTATGTATTATATATACATATATATATGTCTATATTAACACACACACATATATATAGTCCTCGAGTTACAAACATCCGACTTAAAGGCAAATCATAGTTAAAAACAGGTGAGACAACAGGAAGTGAGAGGAATCTTATATTATTATATTATGAGTATTATTACGTTATTATTGTTTACTAGCTGTACCTGCCATGCGTTGCTGTGCCCAACCATCCCTCCCTCTTTCTTTCCTTCTTTCCCTTCTTCCTTCGCTCCCTCTTTCCTTCCTTCCCTTTTTTCTTTCCTTCTCTCCTTCCTTCCTTCTTTCCTTCCTTCCCCCTTTTCTTCTCTTTTCTCTTTCTTCCTTCCTTCCTCTTCTTCTTTCTTTTTTCTTCTCCTCTCTTCTTCCTCCCCCTTTCTTCTCTACCTCTTTCTTTCTCCTCTTTCCTCCTTCCTCCTTCCTTCCTTCCTTCCTTCCTTCTTCCTTCTTCCTCCTCCTTCTTTCCTTTTTCCTCCTTCCCTCTTTCCTTCCTTCCTTTCTTTTGTTTTTCCATCCTTCCTTCTCTCTTTCTTCCCTCCTCTTTCTCTCCTTCTTTCTCTCCTTCGCTCCCCCTTTCCTTCCTTCCCTTTTCTTTCCTTTCTCTTCTCCTTCTTCTTCCTCTTCCTTCTTTCCTTCCTTTTTCTCCTTTCTCTCTCCTCTTTCCTTCTTCCTTCTCTTTCCTTCCCTCTCTTCTCTCTTTTCTCCCTCTTCCTTCCTTTCCTCTCCTTCCTCCTTCTTCTCCTTCCTTCTCCTTCCTTCCTTCCTTTTTTCTTACCTTTCTTCTCTCTTCCTTCCTTCCTTCCTTCCTTCCTTCCTTCCTTCTCCCTCCTTCCTTCCTTCTTCTCTCTACCTCTTTCCTTCCTTCTCTCTTTCCTTCTTTATTCCTTCTTCTTTCTTTCTTTCTTTCTTTCTTTCTTTCTTTCTTTCTTTCTTTCTTTCTTTCTCCCTTTCCTCTCCCTCTTCCTTCCCTTTTTTTCTGTATCCATTTAGCTTTTTGTCATTTAGTTTTTTGGGTTTTAAGTCCTTTCTGTTTTTTTTGGGGGGGGGGGTTTATGAGTGGGCACTCGTTGGTCTGTTAGGGGTATAGTGTCCGAATTTCATGTCAATTTGTCCAGTGGTTTTCGACTTATGTTAATCCCACAAACGAACATTACATTTTTAGTTATGTAGATATATGTACAGGCAGTCCCCAAGTTACAGACACCCAACTTCTGCATGACTCCTAGTTAAGAACGGGGATGAGACGAGAGGAAGTGAGAGAAATAGACTTTTGGTTTTACGCCGTATTTTCCAATTCCAGGGCAGCATATACCGGAGAACCGGGAATCCTTATGCGCTGCGGTCCAGAGAAGCACAACTCAACAGCAACCCAACGAGGAGTAAGGCGCTACTTTGTCCGTATGCCGGTTGTGTATCTGTGTGTGCTTTCCTGTTTGGAGGAATCGCTCCCCAAATCTTAGAGGATGCTGGGAGTTCCAGTGGGGGGTGGGAGGAGCATTGTTGCATTATATTTCTTTTGTTCGGTTGCATTATCTGTCCTTGTTTCCCCTTTTTTTGCTTCATCCCGCCGTCTTCCAGCTCCCAAGATGCTCTCAGCTTAGCAGAAAAGGTCTTGCATTTGGAGTCGACGCTCAAGAAACTGCAGGAAGATCTTCAGAGGGTGAGATGTGAAAAATATTCTATTCCTGGTTTGAAAGTGTTGTTTCCTGTTGAACTGTGCGGTCGTTACTTACTGTTCTGGGTACCCATCGTGCACAGATCTTCTGATCTTTAGAATGTGCTCTTTAACTCCCACTATTCGCTTTCCCACATAATCACCAGACAATTGGATACATTTCTACCAACGATGAACAATTTTTCTGAAGCTGTTGCTGAAGAAGTCGACACTCTGTTTCCGCAACCAGGATCTCACAGTTCTCTCATCCTGGGTACCCATTGTGCACAGATCTTCCGATCCTTAGAATGTACTCTTTAACGACCACTATTCACTTTCCCACGTAATCACCAGACAATTGGATATATTTCTGTCAACGATGAACAACCACTATTCACTTTCCCACTGCATTCACTTTTCCATATAATCACCAGACAATTGGATACATTTCTGCCAATGATGAACAAGTTTTCTGAAGCCGTCGAAGAAGAAGTCGACACTCTGTTTCCACAACCAGCATCTCACTGTTCTCTCAACCACTATTCCCTTTCCCACATAATCACCAGACAATCGGATACATTTCTGCCAATGATGAACAAGTTTTCTGAAGCCGTCGCAGAAGAAGTCAACACTCTGTTTCCGCAACCAGCATCTCACTGTTCTCTCAACCACTATTCGCTTTCCCATATAATCACCAGACAATCGGATACATTTCTGCCAACGATGAACAAGTTTTCTGAAGCTGTCGCAGAAGAAGTCGACACTCTGTTTCCACAACCAGCATCTCACAGTTCTCTCAACCACTGTTCGCTTTCCCACATAATCATCAGACAATCGGATTCATTTCTCCCAACGATGAACAAGTTTTCTGAAGCTGTCGCAGAAGAAGCCGACACTCTGTTTCCACAACCAGCATCTCACAGTTCTCTCAACCGCTATTCACTTTCCCACATAATCACCACACAATTGGATACATTTCTGCCAATGATGAACAAGTTTTCCGAAGCTGTCACGGAAGAAGTTGACACTCTGTTTCCGCAACCAGCATCTCACAGTTCTCTCAATCACTATTCGCTTTTCCACATAATCACCAGACAATCGGATACATTTCTGCCAACGATGAACAAGTCTTCTGAAGCCGTCGCAGAAGAAGTCGACACTCTGTTTCCGCAACCAGTGTCTCATAGTTCTCTCAACCACTATTCGCTTTTCCACATAATCACCAGACAATCGGATACATTTCTGTCAACGATGAACAAGTTTTCCGAAGCTGTCGCAGAAGAAGTCGACACTCTGTTTCCACAACCAGCATCTCACAGTTCTCTCAACCGCTATTCGCTTTCCCACACAATCACCACACAATTGGATACATTTCTGCCAACGATGAACAAGTTTTCTGAAGCTGTCGCAGAAGAAGTCGACACTCTGTTTCCACAACCAGCATCTCACAGTTCTCTCAACCGCTATTCACTTTTCCACATAATTGCCAGACAGTTGGATACATTTCTGCTCACGATGAACAACCACAATTCGCTTTTCCACATAATCACCAGACAATCGGATACATTTCTGCCAACGATGAACAAGTTTTCCGAAGCTGTCGCAGAAGAAGTCGACTCTCTGTTTCCACAACCAGCATCTCACTGTTCTCTCAACCGTTACTCACTTTCCCACACAATCACCAGACAATTGGATACACTTCTGCCAACGATGAACAAGTTTTCCGAAGCCGTCGCAGAAGAAGCCGACACTCTGTTTCCACAACCAGCGTCTCACAGTTCTCTCAACCACTATTCACTTTTCCACATAATCACCAGACAATTGGATACATTTCTGCCGTCTTGAACCTCATTGACACCCTGATCCTGAAACACAATCACAGGCTGAACTCCAACAACTGATCCAAACTGCATCAAGCCAAAGGGAATGGGTCCAGAAACCAGGCATGTTTTTTATATGTTGCCTTGCTGTTTTTCTATTTTACTCCCAAGGTTTTCTAAGTCTTATGTAAAAAGCTTCGCCTGGTGGTGACTTCAGCGAGTGGGTGGGTTGTAGTCATTTTGGCTGATGGTGTAATTGGGTGGTTTGGTTTCCAAATTGTTTCCGGCAAGTGACTGTTTTATATTCCTCTCGTTGGGAGTTTTGTTTCTGAACCGAAAGAGGGGTTAATCAATTGGAATGGGGAATCAGTCCAGCTTTGTGGAAGGAAATGGCTCTCGTCGGTTTAGTACGAGGGTTGAATGAAAAGTAACGCCTCCACCTTCGTAACTCCTCAACAGGTGGCAGTACTGGTATGCGGCAGGTACTGGCTTGTTCAGTAGACTCCCCTCTACAGTTCCATTTTGTAGGGAAGCCTTAGCATTGAATGGTTGTGTTTTTAAAGTACGAAGTATGGAACCCTGTGCAGACGGTTGGTCAATGCAACTTAAGCAACGTATGCGGCAGGTACTGGCTTGTTCAGTAGACCTTCCTCTACAGTTCCATTTTGGCGGGAAGCGTTAACATTGAATGGTTGTGTTGTTAAAGTGCGAAGTATGGAACCCTGCGCACACCGTCAGTCAATGCGACTTAAGAAATGGATGCAGTTGGTACTGGCTTGTTCAGTAGACTCTCCTCTACAGTTCCATTTTGGCAGGAAGCCTTAGCATTGAACAGTTGCGTTATTAAAGTGCGAAGTATAGAACTCTGCGCAGACAGTCGGTCAATGCGACTTAAGCAATGTATGCGGCAGGTACTGGGTTGTTCAGTAGACTCCCCTCTACAATTCCATTTTGGTGGGAAGCCTTAGCATTGAACGGTTGTGTTGTTAAAGTGCGAAGTATGGAACGCTGCGCAGACGGTCGGTCAATGTGACTTAAGCATCGTGCAGTCATTGAATTTTTGAAAGCAAAAGGTGTCACCTCAACATCGTTAAACTTACTCGCCCAACGATGCACAGTACTCACATCAACACAATCACCATCAACAGCATGCATTCTGTGATGAATCTCTGAGCAGGATTCTGAGAAATGTAGTTCAGGGCAGGGCCTTTTGAATTCTCTGCCATAGGGCTCCTTGCCTTCCCAAACTACATTTCTTACTCCTAGAAGGTTCCCACTACTCTCCATTGCAGTCCATTCCACTCCCTGGTGGGGAGTCCATTCCACTTTCTGTTGCTGAGCAGGATTCTGGGAAATGTAGTTCAGGGCAGGGCCTTTTGAATTCTCTGCCATAGGGCTCCTTCCCAAACTACATTTCTTACTCCTAGAATATTCCCACTACTCTCCATTGCAGTCCATTCCATTCCCTGGTGGGGAGTCCGTTCCACTTTCTGAGCAGGATTCTGGGAAATGTAGTTCAGGGCAGGGCCTTTTGAATTCTCTGCCATAGGGCTCCTTCCCAAACTACATTTCTTACTCCTAGAATATTCCCACTACTCTCCATTGCAGTCCATTCCACTCCCTGGTGGGGAGTCCGTTCCACTTTCTGATGCTGAGCAGGATTCTGGAAAATGTAGTTCAGGGCAGGGCCTTTTGAATTTTCTGCCATAGGGTTCCTTGCCTTCCCAAACTACGTTTCTTACTCCTAGAAGGTTCCCACTACTCTCCATTGCAGTCCATTCCACTCTCTGGTGGGGAGTCCATTCCACTTTCTGTTGCTGAGCAGGATTCTGGAAAATGTAGTTCAGGGCAGGGCCTTTTGAATTCTCTGCCATAGGGCTCCTTGCCTTCCCAAACTACATTTCTTACTCCTAGAAGATTCCCACTACTCTCCATTCCACTCCCTGGTGGGGAGTCCGTTCCACTTTCTGAGGCTGAGCAGGATTCAGGAAATGTAGTTCAGGGCAGGGCCTTTTGAATTCCCTGTTAAATTATTATTTTGATGTTTTTCCTCTCTTCCAGGAGAAAGCCGAGAAGGCAGCGTTGCAGGCGGAAGTGCAGAGCTTGCAGGAAAACACCCAGCGCCTGAAAGAGGCCTCCGAAACAGCCGCGGCACAGCTCAGCCAGGTCACCCAAATGCTGGGCGGCCCGCCGACGCCGCCCCACTGCCCTTGAGGTCTCTTCCTCTTCCGTGTCTTTCCGTGGCCATGGGAATCGGCGACGCGGATAGCAACAGAAACTTTGGACTGTTAATGGGCTTCCATTCCTGTCCCGTCCCAAAACTTGCCGGCCGTTGGTGTTTTTGGGGAGCACCTTATTTTGAGACACCGTTGGGGGAAAGGAAACTGATATTTGGGTCCAAAAAAAGGGTGGTCTTCCCAGGTTAAGGTGGGGTTTTCCAATAGAGAAGACGGCATTCAGTTCCCAAATGGGACATTTTTTCTGTGTCCAAGTGGGATCTTCCTTTGTTCCCAAATGGGACCTTTTCTGTGCCCAAGTGGAACATTACACCGTGTCCAAATGGGACCTTTTCTGTGTCCAAATGGGACCTTTTCTGTGTCCAAATGGGACTTTCCTTTGTGCCCAAATGGGACCCTTTCTGTGTCCAAATGGGACGTTCCTTTGTACCCAAATGGGACTTTCCACCATGTCAAAATGGGACCTTTTCTGTGTCCAAATGGAACCTCCTTCTGTGCCCAAATAGGACATTCCACTGTGTCCAAATAGGACTTTTTCTGTGCCCAAAGGGGACCTTCCTTTGTGCCCAAATTGGAACCTGCTTCTGTGCCCAAATGGGACCTTCTTCTGTGCCCAAATAGAACATTCTACCATGTTCAAATTGGACCTTTTTGTGTCCAAATGGGACCCTTTCTGTGTCCAAATGAGACCTTCTACCGTGTCAAAATGGGTCCTTTTTGTGCCCAAATAGGACATTCCACTGTGTCCAAATAGGACCTTTTCTGTGCCCAAATGGGACCTTCCTTTGTGCCCAAATGGAACCTTCTTCTGTGCTCAAATAGGACATTCCACCATGTTAAAATGGGGCCTTTTTGTGTCCGAATGGAACCTGCTCCTGTGCCCAAATAGAACATTCCACCATGTCCAAATGGGATCTTTTCCGTGCCCAAATAGGACATTCCACCATGTCCAAATGAAGCCTTTTCGGTGCCCAAATAGGACATTCCATCATGTCCAAATGGGACCTTTTTCTGTGCCCAAATGGGAACTTTCTTTGTACCCAAATGGGACCTTCTTCTGTGCCCAAATAGGACATTCCACCATGTTGATGGGAATGTCCTTCCCCTGTTAAATTATTATTCTTATGTTTTTTCTCTCTTAAATGGGCCTTTATTGTGTCCAAAGGGGACCTTATTCTGTGCCCAAATAGGACATTCCACCATGTCCAAATGAAGCCTTTTCTGTGCCCAAATAGGACATTTCACCATGTCCAAATGGGATCCTTTTTGTGTCCAAATGGGATCTTTTCTGTGCCCAAATAGAACATTTTGCCATGTCCAAATGGGATATTTTCCGTGCCCAAATAGGACATTTCCACCATGTCCAAAGGAAACCTTTTCTGTGCACAAATAGGACATTCCACCGTGTCAAATGGGACATTGTTGTGTCCAAATGGGATCTTTTTTGTGCCCAAATAAGACATTCCACCATGTCCAAAGGAAACCTTTTCTGTGCACAAATAGGACATTCCACCGTGTCAAATGGGACATTGTTGTGTCCAAATGGGATCTTTTTTGTGCCCAAATAAGACATTCCACCATGTCCAAAGGAAGCCTTTTCTGTGCCCAAATAGGACATTCCACCATGTCCAAATGGGACCCTTTTTGTGTCCAAATGGGAGCTTTTCCGTGCCCAAATAGGACATTCCACCATGTTCAAATGGGACCTTTTTTGTATCCAAATGGGACCTTTTCTGTGCCCAAATGGGACCTTCCTTTGTGCCCAAATGGAACCATCTTCTGTGCCCAATTGGGACCTTCTTATGTGCCCAAATAGGACTTTCCACCATGTCCAAATGGGACCATATTCTGTTCCCAAATGTGACCTTCTTCTGTGCCCAAATGGGAACTCCCACTGTGTCCAAATGGGACCTTCTTCTGTGCCCAAATGGAACCGTCTTCTGTACCTAATTGGGACCTTTTTATGTGCCCAAATATGACATTCCACCATGTCCAAATGGGACCTTCTTCTGTGCCCAAGTGGGAACTCCCACTGTGTCCAAATGGGACCTTCTTCTGTGCCCAAATGGAACTGTCCTCTGTGCCCAATTGGGACCTTCCTCTGTGCCCAAATAGGACATTCCACCACGTCCAAATGGGACCTTCTTCTATGCCCAAATGGGACCTCCTTCTGTGCCCAAATGGGACTTCCTTTCCACTCCCCTTATGGGACAACCGCCCCATTTCCCCGGTTGCGTTTGCGCGCCACTTTTGAAGCCGTAGGCCCCTCTTAGCTGTCGATAGGGTTGGGGTGGGTTGGATACGTGGGGTTGTTGTTGTGTTGTTGTTTCTACTGGATTTAAGACATTTGAAGCCCCTCCACAAAGGTCGGAAACGGGGAGGAAAACACAATTCTTCAGGCAATAACTGCAGACCACCCTCGAAGTGAGAGAGAGGGTCAAGAGAAGGTTGAACACACCTTGGCCGCTCCTCCCCTCCTGTGTCTCCTTCCTTCCCTTCTCCCCAAATTATGGCACTGATTTGGGTTTTGCCCAGACCCAGATACCTAAGTAACTGTGAATCGTTTTGGAAAAACTGTGACCTCGTTTCTCCATCTTCTGCGGGACGAAGGAGGACGAATGATTATTATTATTTTTCCTACTCTTTCTCTCGCCTCTCGCGGTGCTGCCCCATTCCGTCCGCGTCCTAAAGGACTCCAAAGGTCATCTAGTCCTAACCTGTTTGGACGCCGAGGAAGGAAGTCCCGCCCTTTTTGAAGGTAGTCCGTCCCACTGTTGAGAAGCCTATTTTCCCTTCCTCGGAGTCCGGTAGAAAACGGAGTTTGCTCCATCTTCCCATAGGTATCTCAGGATATATGGGGCTTCCTCCTTCCTTTGGTCGTTCCTAAGCACCCTGCACATATTTCCCCATCCCTTCTTTCTGGGACCAAGGTTAAAAGGGGAAGCAAGGGAAGGAGAGTACTGTTATCCACCTTTGTCTTCCTCCCGTCCATATTTGAACTGAATGTACAGACTTAGCAGTCCCCTTCCTTGTGCAATAAAGTCTTGGTCTGCAGCCATACGATGGGTTTGGGCTCTCACTTTTGCCAACGAAGGACTTCAGAAGCCGGGAAGTGTTTGGAATGAAACGGATGATTTCCCTCCCGTCATCACACTGTTAAATGTATCCGTGTTACTCGGTTGTACTCAGCATTCTTTCCGTTCATTTGCCATCACACTGTCATCGCTAGGCTTACTTACTTAGGCGATCCCTCGTAGTCTGAGGATGATGATGATGATGATTATTATTATTAGGCTTGGTTGATCGTGTTCGTTGGTTTCTAAACTCGTTACGAATCCGTATTTAAATTAGCTTTCGATCCAATATTGAGCCGTGCAGGAATAGTGTGAGGAGTAATTAAGAATCGAAACAATTTTTCCAGTTTTCGTAATTATTTTTGTATGTATTACTATATTATATTATAATTGTATATTATATTATTATTATTATTATTATTATTAATTTATTTATTTTGGTTGATCATGTTCGTTAGTTTCTAAACTCGTTACGAATCCGTATTTAAATTAGCTTTCGATCCAATATCGAGCCGTGCAGGAAGAGTGTGAGGAGTAATTAAGAATCGAAACAATTTTTCCAATTTTCGTAATTATTTTCGTATGTATTATTACATTATTATATTATAATTGTATATTATTATATTATATTATTATTATTATTAATTAGGCTTGGTTGATCGTGTTCATTAGTTTCTAAACTCGTTATGAATTTGTATTTAAATTAGCTTTGATCCAATATCGAGCCAAGCAGGAATAGGGTGAGGAGTAATTAAGAATCGAAACAATTTCTCCATTTTTCGTAATCATTTTCGAATGTCTGGTGCAATTTCAAATCTATGATACTATATCTATGTGTGTGTGTGAATCATATCTATCTATCTATCTATCTATTAGGCTTGGGCGGTTTCGTTCGTTAATTTTCGTAATTCTTTATTAATTCGTATTTAAATTAGCTTACGATCCAATATTGAGCCATGCAGGAATCGTGTGAGGAGTAATTAAGATTCGAAACAATTTTTTCAATTTATTTCGTAATTATTTTCGCATGTCTGGTGCAATGTATATTATATTATTATTATTATTATTATTATTATTAATTTATTTATTTTGGTTGATCATGTTCGTTAGTTTCTAAACTCGTTACGAATCCGTATTTAAATTAGCTTTCGATCCAATATCGAGCCATGCAGGAAGAGTGTGAGGAGTAATTAAGAATCGAAACAATTTTTCCAATTTTCGTAATTATTTTCGTATGTATTATTACATTATTATATTATATTATAATTGTATATTATTATATTATATTATTATTATTATTATTATTTATTTATTTTGGTTGATCATGTTCGTTAGTTTCTAAACTCGTTACGAATACGTATTTAAATTAGCTTTCGATCCAATATCGAGCCGTGCAGGAATAGTGTGAGGAGTAATTAAGAATCGAAACAATTTTTCCAATTTTCGTAATTATTTTCGTATGTATTATTATATTATATTATAATTGTATATTATTATATTATATTATAATTATTATTAATTTATTTATTTTGGTTGATCATGTTCGTTAGTTTCTAAACTCGTTACGAATCCGTATTTAAATTAGCTTTCGATCCAATATCGAGCCGTGCAGGAATAGTGTGAGGAGTAATTAAGAATCGAAACAATTTTTCCAATTTTCGTAATTATTTTCGTATGTATTATTATATTATATTATAATTGTATATTATATTATTATTATTATTATTATTATTATTATTATTATTATTAATTTATTTATTTTGGTTGATCATGTTCGTTAGTTTCTAAACTCGTTACGAATCCGTATTTAAATTAACTTTCGATCCAATATCGAGCCGTGCAGGAATAGTGTGAGGAGTAATTAAGAATCGAAACAATTTTTCCAATTTTCGTAATTATTTTCGTACGTATTATTATATTACATTATTATATTATATTATAATTGTATATTATTATATTATATTATTATTATTATTATTTATTTATTTTGGTTGACCATGTTCGTTAGTTTCTAAACTCGTTACGAATCCGTATTTAAATTAGCTTTCGATCCAATATCGAGCCATGCAGGAAGAGTGTGAGGAGTAATTAAGAATCGAAACAATTTTCGTAATTATTTTAGTATGTATTATTATTTTATATTATAATTGTATATTATTATATTATATTATAATAATAATTATTATTATTAATTAATATTATTATTAAACTTTATTTGTACGCCGCTAGCATCTCCCGAAGGACTCGATGCGGCTTACACAGGCCGAAGCCCCAAAACACAATACAACAATACAATCTAAGCAAATCAAAACAATTAAAACAAAATAAAGCAAAATGAACAACAGGCAATAAACAATACACTAAAGCACAATAGAACTGGGCCGGGCCAGAGTAATGGGTACAAGGTTAAAAGTGCTGATGTGACAGGTAGTATATATGAGGCTTCTAGGGCAAGTGCGGTGTGCGGTGTGTGGTGTGTGGTGTGTGGTGTGCAGCAATCATTGGTTCTAGTAAAGTGCTTCTGGGACTTGGTATTGGAGGTTTCCTAATCTGGGAAGGCACGTCGGAACAGCCAGGTCTTCAAGTTCTTTCTGAAGACTGCCAATGTAGGGGCCTGTCTAAGATCTTTGGGAAGGGTGTTCCAGAGTTGGGGGGCCACCACGGAAAAGGCCCTGCCCCGCGTCCCCACCAAACGTGCCTGTGACGCAGACGGGATCACGAGCAGGGCCTCTCCGGATGACCGAAGTGAATGTGTGGGTTCGTAGACGGAGATGCGGTCACGCAGGTAGGCTGGTCCCAAACCGTTCAGGGCTTTGTAGGTAAGCACCTGCACCTTAAATTGTGCTCGGAAGATAAACGGCAGCCAGTGGAGCTCCTTGAACAGGAGGGTTGACCTCTCTCTGTAAGGGGCCCCAGTTAACATCCTGGCTGCTGATCGTTAGACCAGTTGGAACTTCCGAGCCGTCTTCAAGGGCAGCCCCACGTAGAGCGCATCGCAGTAGTCCAATCTGGAGGTGACCAAGGAATGGACCACCCCGGCCAGATCAGCCTTCGCGAGGTACGGTCGCAGTTGGCGCACGAGTCTCAATTGTGCGAAAGCCCTCCCAGACACCGCCGACGCCTGAGCTTCAAGCATAAGCGATGAATCCAAGAGGACTCCCAAACTGCGGACTTGTGGCTTCAGGGGGAGTGATGATGATGATGAAATGGGTTCCGACGACATTTGTTCTCCAGTGCAGATGCACCCAGAGGAAGGTGTGGACCTTGGGAAACTATAACTCCCAGGACTGCCTAGCGTGGAGCTATGTTACTTAAAGTGGGCCTCGCCTGCTTTTATAAAGCCAGGCCGGAAGCGGCTCCGTGCTCGTCCGGGCATGCCCTCGGGAGACCTGTATTTTGCGGTTTTGTTCCTTCCTTTCCGGCCGTATAATTAGGTGGGCGAAATCTTCAGTTTGCCTCGGGTGCTTCTATAATCAATATAACGGACCCCAGGGGAGTTTTAGTTCTCCTTGGCCCCTTCCTTTTGCATTCTCCCAACAAACAGATCCCTTTGAGCCCTGCTTTGTCTTCCCAAAGCAACTTTTCAGTGCAAGGAATGGACACCGAAGGGTTATGTATGGAAATGGATAAGCATTTGTGCATGTAAACAATCGTTTTTAGTTTACATACAATCCAACCCAAGGGCTCTCCAGTCCAACCCGCTTCTGCCAGGGAGGAAGACACAACCCGAGCCCTCCCAGGAGATGGCCATCTAGATTTTTGAATATGTTTTCGTGGTTTTGAACTGGGATTTTAATAGGTTCTTGTGGGTTTTTTCAGGCTATAGGGCCATGTTCTAGAGGCATTTCTCGTGACGTTTCGCCTGCATCTATGGCAAGCATCCTCACCTCACTACCTCTGAGGATGCTTGCCATAGATGCAGGCGAAACGTCAGGAGAGAATGCCTCTAGAACATGGCCCTATAGCCCGAAAAAACCCACAAGAACCTAGTGATTCCAGCCATGAAAGCCTTCGACAATACATGGGACTTTAATGTTTGCATATTGGTATATTTTAAATTGTATGCTGGTGCCTTTATGTTAAGCCGCTTTGAGTCTCGTTCCAGGAAGAGATAGAACAGGGTATAACAACAACAACAATCACCACAACAACAACAAAAACCTGATTGAGTCTCCTGCAGGAGAAATAAAGTGGGTATTAATAATAATAATAATAATAATAATAATAATAATAATAATAATAAACAACAACCTGCTTAGAGTCTCCTGCAGGAGAAATAAAGTGGGGTATTATTATTATTATTATTATTATTAATAACAACAACAACAACAACAGCCTGATTTAAGTCTCCTGCAGGAGAAATATAGTGGTGTATTAATAATAACAACAACAACAACAACAACAACAACCTGTTTGGAGTCTCCTGCAGGATACATAAAGTGGGGTATTATTATTATTATTATTATTATTATTATTATTATTATTATTATTAATAACAACAACAACAACAACAGCCTGATTTATTCTCCTGCTGGAGAAATAAAGTGGGGTATTAATAAAATGTCTATTGTTCATTGTTTTTATGATTTTAAATGTAATGTAATGTTTCTTTTCTGCTTTTTATCAATGTACTAGCCATCCCCTGCCAGGCATTGCTGTGGCCCACATGGGGATTTTGTGTGGGAGGTTTGCCCCAATTCTATCGTTGGTGGGGTTCAGAATGCTCTGTGATTGTAGGTGAACTATAAATCCCAGCAACCACAACTCACAAATGTCAAGATTCTATTTTCCCCAAACCCCACCAGTGTTCACATTTGAGCATGTTGAGTATTTGTGTAGAGTTTGAGTCCACAGGGATCTCTGGATGTAAGTGAACTACAACTCCAAAACCAAAGGACACTGCCCACCAAACCCTTCCAGTATTTTCCATTGGTCATGGGAGAACTGTGTGCCAAGTTTGGTTCAATTCCATCATTGGTGGGGTTCAGAATGCTCTTTGATTGTAGGTGAACTATAAATCCCAGCAACTACAACTCCCAAAAGACAAAATCAATTTTTTTTGAGTGAAGGACATGCATTGGGTTGTTAGGTGTCTTGTGTCCAAATTTGGTGTCAATTCTTCCGGTGGTTTTGGAGTTATGTTAATCTCACAAACGAACATTACATTTTTATTTATATAGATAAGTAAAAAGCATCTAAGTAAAAAGCACTTTAAAGGAATAGGTAAATCCAATTAGGTAAGAAGATACATGTATCATATTATTAGTAGTATTATATTGCATTATATTATAATATTATGAATATAAGTATTATAAATATTCGTGTCCCCCACCTCCAGCCCCATAACATCTAACATGCATTGAAACACGCACACTCTTCCACACATACAGAAAAAGACAACCAAACTGGTTTCGTTTTGTCAAAAACGTTCCCTTTACTATCAAGACAATCGGCAAGCTCCGGTCCCATCTGTCTGCAGACTCATTAATATCCCCCTTTCGACTTCCCTCCCCAAAAACTGACGTCTTAAGCAGCTGGAAAGCCAGTCCAAATTATGGAGATCTGGAAAAGAAGGGGGTCTGGAGCCCTTCGTCTTGACTCCGGAATTTCAACCCAAAGCTAAAGCGTTTGGAAGGGCTTTGTGTCCGTCTGAGCGCACCTTCGGAGGAAGACAGTGCTTTGTTGTGTTCCGTCTCGCAGAACGAATGGCCTCTTTCAAGTCTTTCCTTGGTTGTGAGTCACAGAAAAGTCCATCCGGAGATGGAGCAAATGCCACTCCGCACAGAGCGCAAAACCTGTGTCTTTTTGGCGTTCGCCACTCTGCACAGTGGGCAAAACCTGTGCCTTTTCAGCATTCGACTCTCACTGATGTTCAGTCTGAAACCTTCGGAGGAAGACGGTGCTTTATTGTGTTCCGTCTCGCAGAACGAATGGCATCTTTCAAGTCTTTCCTTGGTTACGAGTCACAGAAAAGTCCATCCGGAGATGGAGCAAATGCCACTCCGCACAGAGCGCAAAACCTGTGTCTTTTCGGCGTTCGCCACTCTGCACAGAGGGCAAAACCTGTGCCGTTTCGGCATTCGACTCTCACTGATGTTCAGTCTGAAACCTTCGGAGGAAGATGGTGCTTTGTTGTGTTCCGTCTCGCAGAACGAATGGCATCTTTCAAGTCTTTCCTTGGTTGTGAGTCACAAAAAAGTCCATCCGGAGATGGAGCAAATGCCACTCCGCACAGAGCGCAAAACCTGTGCCGTTTCGGCATTCGATTCTCACTGATCTTCAGTCCAAATATCAGTGAGAGCAGTTGGCTCCTTTTACTTCAAAATGGCTTCTTCGGCCAAGCGAGATTGTTGCGCAGGCACTGGCTTTCGGAGAGCACCGACGGTCCCATCCCGACGTGCAAAGCCAAATGTTTACAAAGATAGGCCCGGCGTCTGAACTGCTTGGGGCAATGAGAGCAACAATAGTTCCCTTCCGCGACACCGGAACGCGGTACTGCGTCGGAAGTGTGGCCCGCTTCGGGACTCTCATTCTCCTTGGTGCCCCCCGTCTGCCCTCCGCCACGAGGTTTATGCCAACGCCGGTGAGAGGCCAGATTGGCCGGGCAGCTGAAAGCCTTGCTGCACTCGTGGCAACGGTACTCAACCCTCGCGATGCGGGAGCAGCAGTGTTGCGCCAGGGCGAGCGGACCTGGGTAGGACTCTTGGCACAGCTGGCACACAAAGGCCCCTGGCAAAACAACGACGGCGTTGGGCGAGACTTCTTTCGGAGCCGCTCGTTTGGGCAACCCGTTGGTGACCGTGCAAGCCGAGCCGGAGCCTGGAGATTGGGAAGTGCGTATTGTGACCGACTCAGCTGGTGCTGGCGAAGCGGAATGGAGACCACGCTGGAGGCAAGCTGTCGGTGGAATGGTCAGCGGAACAATCAGTGGAACGGTCAGCGGAATGGCACTCGAAGGACTTTGGATGGGTGCCTGAGTCTCTTGGGTGCCTCCAACCTTGGGCAACTTCCTATAGTTTAAAGGAAGGGATGCTGCAATGGGAAGTATTTCTTCTGGAGGTGTTCTCACTCGGTAAGAGACGGGACCTTCTCGGCGCGTTCTCTTGACCAGGAAACCACGCGGCATTTTTTTTGGGCAATCACTTTTCTGATGTTAGAAGTTGCGTGGAGGCTTCTCTTTGGCACCAACGGTGGCACGCTTCTTGTTGGCACCGAAGCAACTTTCAATTGCAGGCTTACCTCCGAGTGTGCAGTCGCTTTTCTCCCGCTCAAAGTTGCATGGAGGCTCACTTCCTTGGCACCAATTGTGGCACACTTCTCACCGGCAACTTTCAATCGCTCTTCTCTCAAGGCTTACTTCCGAACGTGCGATCGCTTTTCTCCTGCTCGAAGTTGCGTGGAGGCTCGCTTCCTTGGCACCGAATGTGGCACACGTCTCGTCGGCACTTTCAATCACCCTTCTCAAGGCTTACCGCCGAACGTGCAGTTGCTTTTCTCCCGCTCGAAGTTGAGTGAAAGCTTGGTTCGTTGGCACCGAATGTGGCACACGTCTCGTCGGCACTTTCAATCACTCTTCTCTAGGCTTATCTCCGAATGTGCAGTTGCTTTTCTCCCGCTCGAAGTTGAGTGAAAGCTTGGTTCGTTGGCACCGAATGTGGCACACGTCTCGTCGGCACTTTCAATCACCCTTCTCAAGGCTTACCGCCGAACGTGCAGTTGCTTTTCTCCTGCTCGAAGTTGCGTGGAGGCTCGCTTCCTTGGCACCGATTGTGGCAAACTTCTCATCAGCAACTTTCAATCACTCTTCTCTCAAGGCTTACTTCCGAACGTGCGATCGCTTTTCTCCTGCTCGAAGTTGCGTGGAGGCTCGCTTCCTTGGCACCGAATGTGGCACACGTCTCGTCGGCACTTTCAATCACTCTTCTCAAGGCTTACCTCCGAACGTGCAGTTGCTTTTCTCCCGCTCGAAACTGAGTGAAGGCTTGGTTCGTTGGCACCAAATCTGGTACGTTTCTCGTCGGCAACTTTCACTCCCTCTTCTCCCAAGGCTTACTTCCGAACGTGCGATCACTTTTCGAAGTTGCGTGGAGGGTCGCTTCCTTGGCACCGAATGTGGCACACGTCTCGTTGGCAACTTCCAATCGCAATCTTCTCCCAAGGCTTACCTCCGAGCGTGCAGTTGCTTTTCTCTTGCTCGAAGTTGCGTGCAGCGAACCTCCTTGGCACTTACGGTGGCACGCTTCTCTTTGGCACAATCTCAATCGTCTCCCACCTCCGAACGTGCCCAAATCGTACCCACTGTCTCTTTCTTGCGTCCTTGGAACCAGCTGGGCCTCTGTGAGCCCGAATGGCAACTGCCCTCCCATATAAAGGCCGGCTCTCCCATTGTGTGGCCCAAAGGCTGCAGATGGCTGGTCTCGGGCAACCAATGGGCGCAAGGCTGGCTGCGTGGCTGGGGGTCCCATGGGGCCCGGCGGCAGATGGGAGCTCCAGCCCCCGAGCGGCAGGCGCGTGGGCCTTGCCATTATGCAGATTGGGGGCAAGGGGTGGCACACGCCAGCAGCCCGACACAAAAGCCAGGCCCGATACCCCTTGGAGGCCGAATGCATGCATCAATGGGGCCGGAGTTAACCCTTTGCTGGGCCTTTTGCTCAAAAAGGGGCCCCAAATAATCCTATGTGTTGTTATGGGGTTTGTTTTGGTATTTTATTATTGTTATTCTTATTTAACATATACATTTTGGACAACATCAAGATTGGACAGAAACAGTAACAATGATGCATGTTTGCACAACTCGCAGTAAACAAAAGGTTCAAGTAGAATACATTGAAACACTAAACACTCGCTCAAGCATGGGCAAACTTCGGCCCTCCAGGCATTTTGGACTTCAATTTCAACTCCCACAATTCCTAACAGCTATATTCCAGGAGCACTCTCTCCTGACATTTCGCCCACACCTATGGCAGACATCCTCAGAGGTTGTGAGGTCTCTTGCAATTGGGTAGCTGTGAGTTTTCCGGGCTGTATGGGCCATGTTTCAGAAGCATTCTCTCCTGACATTTCACCCACACCTATGGCAGACATCCTCAGAGGTTGTGAGGTCTCTTGCAATTGGGTAGCTGTGAGTTTTCCGGGCTGTATGGGCCATGTTTCAGAAGCATTCTCTCCTGACATTTCACCCACACCTATGGCAGACATCCTCAGAGGTTGTGAGGTCTCTTGCAATTGGGTAGCTGTGAGTTTTCCGGGCTGTATGGGCCGTGTTTCAGAAGCATTCTCTCCTGACATTTCACCCACACCTATGGCAGACATCCTCAGAGGTTGTGAGGTCTCTTGCAATTGGGTAGCTGTGAGTTTTCCGGGCTATATGGGCCATGTTTCAGAAGCATTCTCTCCTGACATTTCGCCCACACCTATGGCAGACATCCTCAGAGGTTGTGAGGTCTCTTGCAATTGGGTAGCTGTGAGTTTTCCGGGCTGTATGGGTCGTGTTTCAGAAGCATTCTCTCCTGACATTTCACCCACACCTATGGCAGGCATCCTCAGAGGTTGTGAGGTCTCTTGCAATTGGGTAGCTGTGAGTTTTCCGGGCTGTATGGGCCGTGTTTCAGAAGCATTCTCTCCTGACATTTTGCCCACACCTATGGCAGGTATCCTCAGAGGTTGTGAGGTCTGCTGGAAACTAGGAAAATGGGATTTATATATCCGTGGAATGATGTTCAGGGTGGGAGGAAGAACTCTTGTCTGATTGAGGTAAGTGTGAATGTTGCAGTTGATCACCTTGATTAGTATTGAATAGCCTTCCAGCTTCAAGGCTTGGCTGCATCCTGCCTGGGAGAATCACTTAATGAACCAGCCTGGACACAGCATTTTATTTGAGAACACAGAAATGCTGGACCACTCTCACAACCACCATGTCAGGCGACACAGAGAAGCCATTGAAATCCGCAGGCATGTGGACAACTTCAACAGAAAGGAGGAAACCATGGAAATGAACACAATCTGGCTACCAGTATTATGTAAAAACTCTAAAATCAGGACAGCAAATAAAGAACGACACTCAGAAAGCAGGGGAATTCCAGACAGGAAACAATCAGTTCCAGCTAACACCTCGCAACAAAGGCTTCCCCCAGGCAGGAAGCAGCCAGGCTTTGAAGCTGCAAGGCTATTCAAGGTGGCCAGTGTCAACATTCACACTTACCTCCAACAGACAAGAGTTCTTTCTCCCACCCTGGACATCATTCCACACACACATAAAAATATAAATCCCACTTGCCTAGTTTCCTAGTTGAGGATGCCTTACATAGATGTGGGTGAAAGGTCAGGAGAGAATGCTTCGAGAACATGGTCAGGCAGCCCGGAAAAAGAACACAACAACCCAGCCATCCAAACCACTGCATAGAATCAGAATGAAGAGGCTACCAAGGCCATCCCCACCCTGACAAAACCGGCAAGACCAATTTCCATGAAATGTTACATTTTCTCGTTCACATCGCACGACGAAACAAATGCTCAGGATACAATGTTCTCCCAAAGTGAGGGCATCAGTTTCCAAGTGGAAGGTGGTCCCGATCAGGGTTGGTTTGACGTGCCTTCCTCTTGGCACGTTTCTCTCTTTCGCCCTCCATTCGAGCTACTTCAAATTCTGCAGCACTGCTGGTCACAGCTGACCTCAAGGGCCAGGGCTTCCCAGTTCTCGGTGTCTATGCCAGAGTTTTTAAGGTTGGCTTTGAGCCTGTCTTTCAATCTCTTTTCCTGCCCACCAACATTCTGTTTTCCGTTCTTGAGTTCGGAGTAGAGCAACTGCTTTGGGAGACGGTGGTCGGGCATCCGGACAACGTGGCCGGACCAGTAGAATTGATGGCGGAGGACCATCGCTTCAATGCTGGTGGTCTTTGCTTCTTCCAGCACGCTGATATTTCCCCGCCTGTCTTCCCAACAGATTTTCAGGATTTTTTGGAGGCAACACTGATGGCTTTTTGATTCCTGGATTTATTGATTGGTCATCCAAGTCTTTGGATCAATGTATTCCTGATTTTCTGGATTATTTATAGAAGTCTAGACTTTGCTTTCTGAACTTTGCTGAACTCTCCCTTGGATTAATTTGTTCCTGCTTATCTTCTTACCTAATTGGATTTGCCTATTCCTTTAAAGTGCTTTTTACTTATCTATATAAATAAAAATGTCATGTTTGTTTGTGGGATTAGCATAACTCAAAAACCACTGGATGAATTGATACCAAATTTGGACACAATCCACCTATCAGGCCAACAAGTGACCATCTATATAAATAAAAATGTAATTTTCATTTGTGGGATTAACATAACTCAAAAACCACTGGATGAATTGACACCAAATTGGACGCAAGACACCTATCAGGACAACAAGTGACCATAACTCATAAAAACACCAAAAAACATAGCAGGAGAGACTTAAAAAGCCAAAAAAATACATTATAATGTTCCTGCTTATCTTCTTACCTAATTGGATTTACCTATTCCTTTAAAGTGCTTTTTTACTTAGAAGCTTTTTACTTTTCTATATAAATAAAAACGTAATGTTCGTTGGTGGGATTAGCAGAACTCACAAACCACTGGACGAATTGACACCAAATTTGGACACAAGACACCTATTAGGCCATCGAATGACCATCACTCAAAGAAACACTGAAAAACACAGCGGAAGGGGCTTAAAAAGCCCCAAAAAAAGGGAAAGAAAATACATTACAATGTTCATGCTTACCTTCTTACCTAATTGGATTTACCTATTCCTTTAAAGTGCTTTTTTACTTAGAAGCTTTTTTACTTTATCTATATAAATAAAAACATAATGTTCGTTTGTGGGGTTAGCATAACTCACAAACCACTGGACGAATTGACACCAAATTTGGACACAAGACACCTCTCAGGCCAACGAATGACTGTCACTCATAGAAACACTGAAAAACACAGCAGAAGGGACTTAAAAAGTCAAAAAACAGAAAATACATTACAATGTTCATGCTTACCTTCTTACCTAATTGGATTTACCTGTTCCTTTAGAGTGCTTTTTTACTTAGATGCTTTTTACTTATCTATATCAATAAAAAGGTAATGTCCGTTTGTGGGATTAGCATAACTCAAAAAC